CTATTATTTGGAGGAGAGAACCGGATAGAGATGCTGAAAGATGAAGAGGGGAGATGGGTTTCGGATGCGTCGGAATTGGAGACTTTTGCTGTGAATTACTACAAGAGATTATATTCGCTTCAAGACGTAGATGAGGTGGTGGAGAGGTTACCAGCTGCAGGCTTTGAACACCTCACTCATGAGGAGGTTTCGGTTTTAAATGGAGCGTTTACTTCCGAGGAGGTGGAGACATCTCTGCGTAGTATGGGTCGCTTTAAAGCACCTGGATCAGATGGTTTTAATCCTGGGTTTTATCAGCATAGTTGGGAGGTTGTAGGGCCATCGGTGACGAGATTTGTCTTGGAGTTCTTTGAGAATAATGCCTTGCCAACAGCAATGAATGATGCACTTGTGGTCTTAATTCCGAAGGTGGAGAAGCCGGAGAGAATAACGCAGTTTCGACCGATTAGTTTGTGTAATGTTTTGTTTAAAATAATTACAAAAACAATGGTCATGCGCTTAAAGACAGTGATATCGAAGTTAATTGGTCCAGCACAGTCAAGTTTTATCCCAGGGAGACTAAGCACAGATAATATAGTTATTGTTCAGGAAGCGGTCCATTCGATGCGTCGAAAGATAGGTCGCAAATGTTGGATGCTTCTAAAACTCGATCTTGAGAAGGCTTATGACAGGATACGTTGGGATTTCCTAGAGGATACGTTGAGAGTGGCAATGTTACCCGAAATGTGGATTGCTTGGATCATGAAATGTGTCACTGGACCGTCGATGAATGTCTTATGGAATGGAGAAAAAACTGAACCGTTCCAGCCATCGCGGGGTTTGAGACAAGGAGATCCGTTGTCACCATACCTTTTTGTCTTGTGTATGGAGAGGTTATGTCATCAGATTGGAATGGCCGTTAGCCTGAAAGAGTGGAAGCCGATTAGTCTCTCTCGTGGGGGACCGAAGTTGTCGCACGTATGTTTCGCAGATGATCTGGTTCTCTTCGCCGAAGCTTCAGTTGCACAGAGTGATACGGAAGGTGTTGGAGCGTTTTTGTGTAGCTTCGAGGCAGAAAATCAGCCTGGCAAAATCAAAGATATTTTTCTCAGGGAATGTACATAGCGATTTGGCAAAGCTCATAAGCGATGAAAGTGGTATCGAAGCCACTAAGGAGTTGGGGAAGTACCTGGGAATGCCAATCCTGCAGAAACGGATTAACAAGAACACATTTGGTGAGGTTTTGGAGAGGGTCACATCGAGACTGGCTGGGTGGAAGGGTCGGTTTCTGAGCTTAGCTGGAAGAGTAACTTTGACGAAAGCGGTCATTGGGTCTATTCCTGTTCATAATATGAGCATAATTATGTTACCAGCGAGCATACTGGACAAGCTTGATTGGGTGTCGAGGGCCTTTCTCTGGGGAAGTACTCTTGAGCGGAAGAAACAACATCTTATTGCATGGGACAGAGTGTGTATACCGAAACGTGAAGGTGGGCTTGGTATCCGTTCAGCGAAATCAATGAACCGAGCCTTACTGGGAAAGTGGGATGGCGACTTTTACATGATCAAAGCAGTTTGTGGGCACGGGTGCTAAGGCATAAGTATAAAGTTCGGGATATACATGATACAACTTGGCTGGTGCCGAAAGGTACCTGGTCGTCTACGTGGCGGAGTGTGAGACTGGGGCTAAGAGAAGTGGTGTTACCGGGTGTTACCTGGGTTCTCGGGGACGGGCAGGAAGTGCGATTCTGGACAGATAAATGGGTTTTAAACAGGCCCTTGACGGAGGTGGTAGTAGGTGGGTTACCGTTCCAAGAGGTGGGTGCTCGAGCTTGTGAGCTATGGACAAATGGAATGGGGTGGGATTTAAATCGTATTGCACCATATGTGTCACATGAGGTGACCCTTAAGCTTGCATCGGTGGTGGTGGTAAATATGACGGGATCATTGGACAGGATATCTTGGGGAGAGAAATCTAACGGAATGTACACGGTGAAATCCGCATACTCCTTATTGACGAGAGATGAGATACCAAGACCGAACCTAGAGAGATTGTTTGAGCGGGTATGGAGAGTGATCGCGCCCGAGAGGGTTCGGGTCTTCCTTTGGCTAGTTACTCAACAAGCGTTAATGACAAATGTGGAGAGACATAGACGACATTTGTGTGATACAAGCTTGTGTCAAGTGTGTAAAGGGGGTGATGAGTCCATTCTCCATGTGTTGCGAGACTGCCCGGCAATGGTTGGAGTATGGAATCGTTTAGTTCCTCTTCGCCAGAGACGAGTGTTTTTCTCTAAGTCATTGATCGAGTGGTTGTATGGTAATCTAGGAGATGCGACAGATTCCGATGGAAGCTTATGGGCTACTCTGTTCTCGATGGCGGTCTGGTGGAGTTGGAAATGGAGATGTGGAGATGTGTTTGGGAGGAGAGAGAAATGGCGTGATCGGGTAAAATTTTTACGTGATCTAGCTAGGGAGGTCACGGTGGCGCACTCGTTAGTCCATGGGAGTAAGAGGAGAACGACAACCGAACAGAGATGGATCGCGTGGAAACCTCCAAGTGAAGGATGGGTGAAGCTCAATACGGACGGTGCATCTCGCGGTAACCCATGGCTAGCTACAGCGGGCGGGGTATTGAGAGACGTTGATGGAAATGGGAGGGGAGGGTTTGCTTTAAATATCGGTATTTGTTCAGCCGTATTGGCGGAACTTTGGGGAGTGTATTATGGACTGGTCATCGCTTGGGAAAAACAAATCACGCGTTTGGAGACAGGGATAAATGATTTACACCCGCTGTCTTTCCTGGTATGATTGTGCCATGGCTATCTATCAAGGGACTGGACAGTCCGCATTGCTCACGTGTATAGGGAAGCTAATCGTCTTGCCGATGAATTAGCGAACTATGCGTTTTCATTACCGGTAGGTCTTCATATGTTTAACTTTACTTTAGAAAATGTTCAGTCAATTGTTTTAGAGGATGAGAGCGGTTTTACCCGTCCTAGAGATATTCGTTTGTAGTTGTTTTTTTTTAGATTTTGAATAAATTAAGGGGGCTCTGCCCCCGGTTTCAATAAAAAAAAAATAAAGTTTGAGTTTTTCTTATTTTCAAGTTCTTTCAAACTTTCACCATGAAAAATATTTATATTACACCAATTTTTTTTTTTACACATTCAACAAGTTTTTTTATACTCATGATAAAAAAAAAAATTGAAAATCTCATGGTTTTAAATCAAGAAACTATACGTATCCAGCGAGCGATGCTGGGAACACCCTGGTTAACGGCGAACGCCATGTAATACCCTGGCGGCGAAACGGCTCCGTTTAGTGGGGCCGTACATTGAATCCTATAACGACCCACTCCGTCTGGTATTGACGGCCCAACGGTCAACTTCACGAGCCGTTGACCTTGAGAGAACGAGTGAGTCGCGAAAGGCGCGTTTCCCCAATTGATCTGAATCGTCTCCACAACCGGCAACGGAACCGTCACAAACACGTCGAAGACCTCGCCGTACCGTACGATCTGCGGGATTTCTCGGATCTCGGGTCGGAGATTAGCCCGATCCAGTGAAAGATACTCGGGAGAAAACGCTTCGATCCGTAGCTCGGTGGGAAATTCCGCGTTGAATTTGTAGAAATAGTGAGGATTACTTCCGGCGAGAAGGATTCGACCGTCAGGCAACAGATTCGCCGTCGAATGGTACATTCTGGGCACAGTTCCTGGATTCAGTGTCATGAATCGCAATCCAATTGGTTGTTCGGGTCGGTATAAAAGCGGGTAAAGACACGGATTCGATCCCATTTCGAATCCTTGACTTCCGGCTTGAGCTCCGTTTATGATCAGAATTTCTCCCGTCGGTAAATTCACCATATCACCCATGA